TGAAAGGTTTTTCTAATGTCTGCCCTAACTTCTATAATTAATAGAAGGGATAATTTACTGGCTACTCAGCTGAATTATATACTAGCAAGAGCAACATAACATTAGTAACTTGGGAGGAACAAGAAAGAGTTTATACTTGGGTAAATGTCTCCCAGCAAGAAACATCTGAGTCACCAAAACAGAAAAGTCAGTCTCTTACACCAGGCAGCCAGGTGGAAGCTTTTGTCTCTTTGTTTTTTGTTAAATAGCAAGATGAGTTAAAGGGTGGCTGATCTCATTAGCTGTCTGGGGCTTTGGAGGTGTTGTGTCCCAATGTTTAAATTAGTCCTGTCTAGTCATTCTTTAAAACTTCGTTTATCTGGCAGGAAAAATGAGGCAGCATTTTACACACGTGATGCCTGCTCTACAACTGCATCAAATGGCAGAATAATAGGGCATTTGGGAGTAACTGCCTGGTTATTTGTGCCAACTTTGTGGCAGACAAACCCACCGGAGGACTGAGCAAATGGAAGCATATAAAATTAAGAAAAATTATATTTTTCTTATGTTGCTCCCATTTTGAGTGACTGCACCTGGGCACTGGTCCACAGCAGCATCATTTTCACACATGGAGAGTCTGGCCCAGGTGTGATAGATTTAAGGGATAGTATGGATAATCATTAAGGATAAACTGAACAATCATGAGAAGTATGTTCTCTTACAGCAGCAAATTTTGTTGCTGTTTCTGCGGTTTTTTGCCATTACCTGGTAAACATATTTTGTTTTGTTTTTTTTCCTAGGTGCTACAGGAACTACTAAAGATGTGTAAGTACTTATTCTACTCAACTCTTTTAAATATATAACCCTGGACATATTTTCAGTCCTAGTAGCCTTATACTAGATTTAGTCATGCATGATTCATCTGGCTCCTAACATATAATCAACACAACCAGATGTTTACTGTTTTTAGTGACAGCTTTCATCTCCACAAAACAATTCCTTGTCTTGTTTACTTTTCTACAGATTTCTTTGCTTGTTATTTCTCTAACAGAAATTTCTTTTCTCTGCTTCTGTTGAGACAGTTGTCTAGCAGAGGTGGTTATGTAACTTCAGACTGCTTTTCCCCATCATGTGCCACTGCACCTTTTTCCAAAGCCATGTAATTTTATGAAGCCAGCACATAAATTTCCACCAGGCTCAGTGAGAGGATTAGAAAACCACTGAGAAAAATTCCCCCTCTTTTCATGAGACCCACTAACCCATCCAACTTCCTTTTCAAAGTACCCACCTTCTCTAAGTATTCTCTGCATTAAAGATAGTATCTATTAGGTTGGCATTGGGTAAGCAGAGGGCAGCCCTACCCATCCTGTTTTTCTCTAAATGTGCAAGGTCTTTTTTACAGCTGTTCTTATTTGCTGATACAGGAACAGCTTTATTCAGCCATAAATGTATTTTTCTATCAAAGAAAACCATAAAGAACTCCTCCTGAGGTCTTGCCTTCTCCTATTACATGTAATTGGTATTTGCCACTAGAGTTTGTGACTGAGGGACCTGGGAAAGATTGTTATGTTATGCAATAGGAACATTCTGCTGTTTTATTTACTTCTCTTAGAATAACTACTCTAATTAGATGGAGGAATCCTGGTGTAGAAATGAGGGCAGTCGAGTCAGATAAACAAGTGGAGGGAAGAGCTTAACAACAGGCTTGTTCTCGCTATTACAGAGCACAGCTGAGAACTAACAACAGGTGTCACTTGGCTGATCAGCTCTGTTGCCACAGATACTCTTGAGATCTGTGTTACCTCTGTAGTCTGTTTTCTGGGCTTGCAGTGCCAGACAATAAATAAATTACAGAAGGCAGTCTTGTAAGGAACCTCCTCTTGATGCAGCCTGCAGCATCACTGCCCTCACTACTTCTGTATTTACAAACCCACTGGTTTCATTTATATCAGGGTCTTTTTTATTGTTCAATTTAGATGATTTAAGCACTGGCTTAGAACTGCATCTTTCTCTTTGCTCATCAGTAGTTTTAAATTTCAAAATCACATGTAATGTTAAATTACATGAACACTGTAGGCATGTTCCTGTGCTTAAAGGTATGGGGATGTGTAGAACTGTGTTTATATGTGTGTAAGCATTTATAGAGCCAGGCTGCAGGAGTTAAAATGGAAGCATCCTACTTACTAGTGTGAGTTCATCTGTCATGTTTCAAAATAGTATTGAGATAACTCAGAAAAAAATTAATTACTAGTGCAGTCTTCAACAAAGTGAAAGGGTCAGTCCTGGAGCTATTACTCATTCAGATTAAGGATAGTGGAGCCAGCCAAACAACCCTTATGAGTAATAGCATGGTTAAACCTTCTCATCAGATGTTCAAAACACACATCTACTAACGAGGAATGGCAGTGATGACCCAAAAGCCCTAATTAGGCATTCTAATACTTAACAGAAGATTTTTATAAAGGAAATAAGCTATCAGAAAAATTATTTTCATTTCATATAAATGAACAAAGATTTATATTAACTAGTATTATAGATCCACAAAAGCTTTTTACACCTTTTTGCTTTCATCAGCTAAAGCTTCTCTTTAAATAACCTTGTTTTTTTTCTTTTGGCTGTCAGATTTCAGTCATATCAGTTCTGATACAGAAAAGCATTTAGGTGTGTCAATCCTTACATGCTTTTTAATACCAACTCTGGTTAATCTGGTTTCTCATTTCTTGACTGTGACTGATTGCCAAAGCACCATGTCTCCTGGAGTGAGCAGCCAGATGGAAGGGTAGAGGGCTGGGTCCTGCTCTGACCCTCCTGGGTGACTGCAGGGAAGCTGCTTTGCCCTCTGGGCCTGGAGTTTCTCCACCAATAAGATAGGGATGGTGATATGATCTTCCTCTGCATAGGGTTCTTCCTCTCTGAGGGCTGTGTGGTGACGAGAAGGACACATGGCTCTGAGAACCTGTCTGCCCTCTGTGCTCCAACCCAGAATCTGTCAGCCAGCTTCAGCCCATGCTCCTGCCCCACTAATAAAGAAACATTCATCACTGCTAATTGGAACAGCTTAGCTGTAGGAGAAGTAAAGGTTATGCTAGAAAGTAATGCCTGTGGTATTCAGTGCACAGCTAAGTGTGTGGGAGGATTAGTTACAGTAGGAAGGAAAGGACACAGCAGTTCAAGCCTGTTTCAAAATATTGAGAGGAGATGCATTAAGTACAAATGAAAGGCTCTTGTTCCCAAGAAACACCAAGAATCTCAGGAGTAGTTGTCTGTCACTTGTTCAAAGTTCAATGAATCATTTCTGGTGGGACTACTGAGCACAGCTAGAAGGAGTCTCTATAATGTTCAGCACAAACAGAACCATAAAAGCTGAGGTAAGAAAAATGTGGATGGAATGAATTAGTGTGAATGCCTGTCATCTGACATTTAAAATATGTGATGAATGGCAGCTTCTTTTACCATCAAATGGACATAGGACTGATGGATGTAAAAGATGACAAATGAACAAAGTGTGTTTTTCAGACTTTGGGTGACAGGAAGGCTCTTGGGACAGACAAATCCTTACCAAAAGAAACCCTCATTCAGCTGAAAATAGTGTTATGTGGTTTTATTATATGGTTTTTCTGCTAAATCTGCCTATTGGCTCTAGGACTCTGCCCATGCTACCTGCTGGAAACCGTGCTCCTGGTTCCTCTGCAGATGTCAACAGCATCTGAGGCAGTGACACAGCAGCCTTGGTCAGCACAAAGCACCTTGGACTGTTAAGTTCTTTTTGCTGTCTATTCCTGGTGCAGAAAAGCTTATCCGAGCTTGCTGTCCCTGGAGGACTGCTGGACTCCTGTGTCCATTGTGAGCCTGAGACATGTGGCAACGGGAGCACTGCTGAAACCAAAGGAGCTTCTCTCTAATCTTGTTGCTCTTGTAGCTTTGTTCCCCGGAGCCACCTGGGTTCACCCAGCCTGGGCACAGAAGCAGCACTTGCCTCAGTGGCTCAACAGACACTAAACATGCAAAATTAGTGGGCACCTTTCAAAAGGGGGTCTTGAGCCATCGTGTGTGAAGACAAGAGGTGTGTGAATATGTGTAGTAAACAAACTGGAGCAGCATTCCTTCCTGACCCCCCAGAAAGGTGTGTAAAATGGATTATTCCTTAAATGCCGTCACCCAAGTTTTTCTTTCTTTTCCCTCTTGCACTCCCTTTTTTCTCCTATCTTTGCTCACTCCCTCTTTTCTGGCAGGGCTATGACAGTTTGCCCCCAACCCAAGAGCTGTTGTCTGTACAATCCCAGATTATTTTTGCTGTCATGCCTTTGAAGGAAAAGGCATTGCAAAATTACTACTTTGATTTAGAGCTAGGAAAGGAAGAAAGCAAAATGTTTTAAAACCCGCTTGTCTGCTTAATCATAGACCTGGATAATTTGTTTTGGTGAGAGAATTACAGTAATGGTCTGTGATGCCATATTACAAAACATTTCTGGAACAGAAGAAAATGGCCCTGTTTCCTACTAGAGTATTTTTCTTTTTTTTTAGAAAAAAAAATTGACATTAATTTCCTGTTGGACAATATTGATTATTATTCTTACAACCCCGTTTCAGAGGCCTCAAGCTGTGCATGAAGTTGTCAGTGCTTTTAAAGGACTCTTTTCTCTGGACAATGATTAATCTGGGTTACAGAAAATGTTCCCAATTGTACGAGAAAATCAATCCTGTGACACATTTGGTTGGTTCAACAGAAATGTCTGTTTGTGATCTTTTGGGACCCAAAGTCCCTTTCTTAAAGTAGATTTATTTATTTATTTATTTATTTTCTAAAAATACATCCTTATTTCCACCCACTGACATACACAGGCTTTCCATTTTCTTCAGGAGAAACTGGCCCACATTAAGACAGAGCAGCTTCCCAGTCCTCAAGAAAAAATGTCTCTGCATTCTCTGGCTGTGAGGACTGTAAGATGACTTAGGTGACTACACAGGGTCAAGGGAGATGGGAAATGCCCTCTGAATGGCTCTAGTTCCTCCAGGAGGGGATGGCAGGAGGGCCAGGGAATGAGGACTTTGTTGATCAGTCTTTCTTGAGTGGTGAGATGTAGACAAAGCCAACGAGGAGTGCTATGCCCTGCATAAATGTAATTTAGCAAAATTGTAGAATAATAAGATTTACTGCAAGCCTCTACTATTAAAAGGACCTGTGTACCCTTATTCACTTGGTGATGCAGAAAGGACAGTTGGTAATGTTCTGCCCCTTAGAAAGAAGGTAGATGTCAGAAAATTTCCAAGTCGTAGCAGTATTTTTAAGGCATGTGCTCCTCTCCCAGGAGGTTTAAGGACATTTTCTTGCACTTAAGACTGCAGAGCCCTCTGCTCTTCAGGCCAAAATCCCATTGACTTCAGGGCTGTGGAAGGGCATAGAGCCCCAAGGATTAAACAGTAGGCCCATGAACCTTTTAGAAAAAATAAATAAATTGGTTGCAGATCAAGCTAAAGTGCAGCTGCTGCCCCATCCATTCCCAGCCATGGAAATAGAGCTCAAAATTCAAATATTTAATCAAAGGTGGGTGAGTGATTTGTCTGAAGACTAATGTCAGGACACAGACTGAGACTGCAGCACAGGCTTTGCACACTTAAGAAGTAAGAATAAATTCCTTACATTTTTTGAATCACATTTGCCTTCACATGAGAGTGCTGGTTACTTTACCTCCTGCTCCAGTTCAGCTGGACAGTATAAAAGGGAGGAATCAAACCTTAGTGACTCTCTATTGATGTACAGACTGACCTGTGGTTTTACCCTAAAGTCAAAGGAGAAGTAATTGCCCATTTTTATGGGATTAATAATAGCATTTGGTTTGCAAACAATTGAATTCAGGAATTGCAGTGCCTCACTTTATAGAAAGGCACTGTAACAGCTTCTGGCAGAGCTGCTGTGAAAGTTTCTCCCTCTTCATCCTCACTCACATGCCAGCACAGACATCCCTTTCTTTCCTCTTTTGGGGGAATAGCGGTCCAGATTTGTTCCTGTTACGTGCAGAGTTTTATTGTTCCTTTTATGTGGGGAGTAGTGTGGGGACTCACTCAGGAAGAATGTTAATTTACCTGTTTCTGCTCCCAAATCTAATTTCAGATCTCACTGGTGGGGGTCATAAAAAGTAAGCAGCATCTTTTCTCAATCCTTTATTTCTTCTATACATTATATTGGAAAATTCTCCCTTTTTTATACCTTTGTGAGTACTTTGTTGAATAGTGGATGTCCTGAATTAAACTGGGGTCAGTAATAGTTTTTCCCTTGCTTCTGAATTTACCCAGATGGTCATGGAGCACCTGAAAGAAACAATCTGCTAACGTGCTTTGTATCTTTTGATGTTGCAGAGCAGAAGAATCCATATCAGATGATGACAAAAGGAGGTAGGTGCTCTGCTCAACCAGGGCTAGCTTTATTTGCAATAGGTTGCAGTGAGTTCTGCCCTCAGTTACACATCCTCCCTTCCCTCCTCCTAACTCCCACCAACACCAGTAAAGCAGAGGAGAAACGAAAAGAGAGGAGGAAATCTCACACAGAGTCGAGTACTGATGAGTCCACCCAGTCTGTTACTGAGCTGGGGAGGTGGAAACTTTGTGGCAGGAAGAGCACATTTTCTCGTAGCTGTAGGTGGTGTGCTCGATAAGGGCTGCTGGCCTCTGCCTTCACACCAACACCGCCGCAGAAGGTGCCATTAGCACTTGGGGGAGACCTCTGCTGGGCTGGAAGTTGAAGGAAATATGAGTCTATCATCAAGCAAATTAGAAATTGGCTCAGAACCCCAGGAGCTGGAGGAGGTGTGATCAATTCAGTACCTAACAGGGCAGAGAAGTGTAAAGGGAGCCTCTGCAAGTGCCTCCAGGCGCAGTAGAGGCTTTAAGGACCCAGTTTTTTACCTCCCTTCATATGTCCCTGCTTTTCATACAGGCTCTTTGGAGGCAGAAAGCATACTCTGCATGTCTGTGAAGGGGAGATGGTTGGGCTATGAAAGTACCTAGGACACTTGTGGTCCTTTCTGCTAAGAGTTTTTTCCAAGTGTGACCCTAAGCAGAGGCGGGCTGGTTGCATTTATTAATGAGGGCCAAGTGCTGTTTAATTGGTGCTTCAAGTGTGGTGCTTTGGTGGTGCCAGTGTCAAACAGTGTCAGATTAGCTCTGTCCTCAGCTGGATATACTCAGAAGAAGCTGGGCGGATGGAGTTTATTTTCACAGGACAGTGAGGGTCTGGTGATAAATATCAGGAACTTGAGTGAACAGAATAGCTCCTTTCATGGAGAGAAGTGTCCCAACTGAGCTCTGACACGCCTGTAATTGTTTCTCCACCAGGAACTATGGTGGGGTGTATGTGGGCCTGCCGGCGGACGCGGCTGCCATGGCTCCCAGTCAGACGAAAGCTGCACCCAAAGGTACTGGAGGTTGTGGATTGTGTTTCTCCTGCTTTCCGGGGATCATTTTATCTAGGATGTATGTCCTTTAAAAATCAATTATCATTTCAGACAGACTGGCTGGCCTTGAAGCCTCTTATGGCTGTGGGGCTATTTATACTTGTCAAAGGGGTTGTTCCCATTTATTCAAAATTTAACACGCTTTTGCAGAAGGATCCTAGAGCAGATGCTGACAGTGTAGGTACATGGTCTTCTGAACAGCTTCTCCACACTTGAGTGCTCTGTGAATTGAAAGAAAATAAACCCCTGTTAGGACTAAGAGACTGTGATAGATGGCACTTGCAGAGCCCCGGTGCTATTTTTAGTTTTGAAGGTATTTACTTGCATTGTGGTGAATTCCAGTAATAACAGTTAGTAAGTGCTTGCTTTCAGGTTTATTTCTGTTCTTACATGAAACCCAGCAGAAACTGTTTCTTTTCCATGTTATATTTTTGAGCAGTGGGAGAAAGCATTAGATTTATAACTATTTAATTGACAAGTCATAAACATATAATTATGAAATAATGTAATATTCTTTTGATTTAACAAAAAAATTGCTGCTGTCACATATGCACAGCACAGAGTTTAGTCACTGACTGATGCTTCCAAAATTTGCTGCAAAACAAGAAAATGAAAAACAGTAACACTATTAACCAAAATAAAAGTAGCTGGTTTTGGAACAGTACTAACCTAGTTGCATGGGTTTTTTTAAAAAAAATATTTTAACCATCTTTGTCTTTTGTTTTCTAATTAAGATTAGAAGGAAATAAAGACATCAAGGTGCAAACAGCCTGAGGTACAGTATGTTTTGATTAACATTATGTGCTTGGCATGTATTTGTTGAACAAGATAGCAATGCTCCCTGTGATGCTCTAAGTTGGTCTGGGACCCACCAAGTTACATCTCCAGCTGCATCATAACTTCAAAAGGCTGGACCAGGGGCCAGTTCTCAGTGGATGCAGATATAAATTAGACAGTAGTAATTCTCAATGGAGAACTGAGAGGCAAGGAAACTCTGTATTACTTCATTTGGGAGCAAATAAAAATCAAATGTCCTTTGTGATACTCAGGCCTCCCATGAGAGATGAGGTACATTAGCAGTGCTTAGATCAGCATCTGCAGAGACAAATATTTTTCCAGGAAGGAGGATTTTGCAGTTAGAAAACTTCTCCTTTTTTTGGAAGGACCTTGAGGACCAAGGTCTGTCACCCACTAAGTAATGTATTGGAGCTTTCTCCTTGCTATGAGAGTATCTGTGGGGGCTTCATTTTCCACCAGCTAAAATAGGACATTGAAGATTTATGGACTCTATTCCTGAGTGAAGAGTTTTGACTAACTAAGTTAAAAAAAATTCCTTTCTAAGTTCATGTCTGCAGAAAAAATAAAAACAAAGTTTCCGTTCAGTACTTGAACTAAATAAACATTGACAAATTTTGATAGGGAACTGTTTTGATGTTTAGCCAGTGGGGAACTGAAAATTATTAAGCTGCCAACAATTTCCATAAGAAGCAGAGCCCTTTCCTAATTTAGGTGAAGAGTCAGACACAGTTTTGACTGGTCCCAATGATGGATGCAGACCTTGTAGAGCAGAACACATAAAATAAGTGTCTTGATTATATGAGTGGTTAAAGCCTCAGAACTTTTCTAGGAGCAGTCTTAAACAGGGAGAACTTCAGGTGGTCTTTCCAGCTAATTTCAGTAACCTGGCTGAGATGTCTAAGCTAGAAACACCATCACCCTTGACCAGGCCAAGGCTCAAGCACCATCTTGAGGTTGCAGCTTTCCATCTGTGGTTTATGAACAGAGTCTGAGTTACTTAGGTCCTTGTCAAGGTGCTTTAGTTGAATGCCTGAGGCTGGATAGAATCAATCACTTGACATTTTTTTGCTATTTAAAATGGCTGAAAGTGTGCTTTGCCTTCATTCATGAAAGATCAGAGCTTAGCTGCTGACTCAAGTCTTACACAGACGAGCAGCTTCAAATCTACAAAGGGTGCTCTGAGCTCCACAAGTTTATGTGCGTGTGTGTCTCCAGTTCATGGACTACAAATCTCTCAGCTTTGTGATGACCTAGTTCTCTGGTTTAGGTAGAGAATGTTCCTGTATTGCTTTTCCACTATTGCTTTTCCAGTCTACCTATTTTTTTTTTATTATTTTTTTTTAACAGTCTACTAAGACCAGTTGCCAGTGCTTTGGAGAGAGCTGTCTTTGTGCGGAAGATTTTGATATTTACACAGCCTTCTGGAGAGCAAGAGAGATCAGAGCACCAAAAAATCCAAACTGTTGCAAGTTCCAACTACGGGTAAAGCTTAAAGTACAGTGTTGAATCAGTTTCCTATGATAGTTGCATTATGGAAACCTCCTGCTGTTCTCCAGTGAAAGATGAAATTGGTGAACTCATGGTGGATGTTTCTGCACATGAGCTAACTTTGATGATCTGCAACTTATTTCTCTGTGGCCATATTGCAGATTCCATCAGCTATCAGCTACGCTTCATGTAATTTCTCCAACAACTTTTGATAGATTTTATATAGAAAACCATCACTACTGTCCACTCAATAGTTTCTATGGTAGGTTCCTGTAAAATAATTGTCATTTTACTTCAGAGTCATATATTTGACAAGTTTTCATCTTCTTGGGAATATTGCAAATTTTAATATTTTTGCTGAGAAATCTTAAGAATAGGATGAAACAAGCATAAGACCGTAAGGGTCTTTGTAATTATTACTGTCCCTTTTATACCATGAGATAAATATTAGTGTTTAATTTTCACCTTTTAAAAAGATATTGCTCAAGGAAATTGATTCAAATAAGAATTATATACTTCATTGTGTTACTTGCATGTCTGTTTATATATTTATTTAGCTATATCTCTTTTATAAAAGTATTACATGAAAAAAAATACTAACAAAATGAACAATGATGTGTTCCATTCCATGTAACAATAATATGTCCTTGCATAAGGATGAAGTGATAGTATTTTAAGAGATAGTGGGACTAAACTCCAGTCCTGCATCCTCCTGACCTGTAGAGGATTTTTGATCACTTATTAGAGTTTTGTATCCCCATCTCATCCGTAAGCATCTCCAGTATGGCAAATTGAAACAGAATGAGTGTTATTACAACTTTAGCAAATTGTTGAAGTTTTAAAATTCATTAAGTTAACAGCAATTGTAAGTTTCACATAGAATATAAAACAGATTGTACATTTACAGATGGCTGAATGAGTATTTAAATTATTAAAGCCTTTTGCATAATTCTTTAGTCAAACTCTTTTTAATGGGACTTGATATGCCATACACTTTAAATAATCAAATAAACAACAACAACAAAACAATATGCACCATGTTAATATATTACTGTACATTAATGACCAATTTTAAAATTAAAAGAAACAAAGCAAGCCAGAAAATTTGGACATGAAGAAATAAGCCACCACCTGCCCTTTTCACTGATACCTATTGCTACCAATGAACTACCATTGACTATGATTTCCAGTAACTTGCAGTTTTCACTTTTAAATAGTGGTAGTTTAATGTGAGGCTTGCAAAAAGAGATATTTAAAAGTATTCCTTGCTTGTCCTCTTTTTATTATTTGTGACATTATTTATTGCTATTCTCTAGAAATCTGCTACTTGGGTTATCAACGATTTCAGGCTTCCAGCTCCTGAAGACAAACATGCATCTCATTCTTGACCATCGACCGCAAACCGAGATGAAATAAGCTTGAAGATTAAGATGTGGTGTTAAAATATCTCTCAGTATGAATGAAAGTCTGTAGATTATATCTGCAGTCTTGCTCTTGCAAGCCAAGCTGGTGACGACTCAAGTAGAACTGGGTGATAAAAGCATGCAGGCTTTTCTCCTACCTTCTTACCATACACGAGGGTATAGTTGCCACTTCACATGTTCCACAAATGGCCAAAATGGTTTGCATAGCACAAGTTTATTTAGTACAAAGAAATTAGGCCCATGCCTGACCTGGTCATAATTGTCTTTCCCAAAGTTGAAAAAGCACCAGTCGTCCTAGGCTACATCAGCATTCAGCTTGTGCTAAAAATGCCAAGAGCAGATGCCAGTAATCAACCCGGTTGTTTATCTGCTTCTATCCTTCAGCTGCTGGGAAGAATCATCAAAAAGGTGGACAGGGCTAAACTCAAACATTACCTTTTCTGCTACTGACATCTGAAGCCCTGTGTGTGGGCAGAGGGAGCAAAGAGGTGATTGCTCACGGACAGCTCCTCGCAGCTGGTGGTGGGACAGTTGCAAAGGGTACTTTCCTTGGTTTACATCACTGCTTGTTTTTCCTGTGCAGAGCTACAGAGAAGCTTGAAGCAATTTGCAGAATTGGTCTTTTAATGTTTCATCCTCTGAATGTGTGGGAGGTACAGTGGTTTCTTAATATTTTTGTTCCTCTGTGTCTTTTAATCTGAAAAGTTTACGGACCAGCTGACAAATGTGCAGCATCATGGACTGCAGCCTCTAAAATAAACATACATTAATTTATGCTATGTGGGCCTTTACCCATCAAACTAAAGAGCTAGGGCCATGCCCTTGTCTTCAATTTGCAGACTCTTGTCTTTTGTTTTCCCAAGGATCCATGAATCTAGAAACTGTGTGACAGCATACTGTATTCTGTCCCGGCCAAATTCCACTTAGGGCACTGATTTTCTGCTCATGAAAATTCCTCTGTGGTGAGCAGCCTTTGTTAATAAAAGCACATGTCATTTCATGGAGAAATGAGTGTATCTGCTCTTTCAAAACTTACAATCTATGGATATTTCTGTTAGGAGGAGGAACAGAAAAGAAACCCTATATGCCAGCTGCCAGCTGTGCATGTGACAGCATCCTTGGAGGCACTCAAATGATGTTTCAATAGGAAAACTGAGAACAGAACACAAGCAATCATTGAATGACAGTTATCATTAAGGAATAGACTTTGGTTTTGTCAAAACATCTTGGATTACCATTTGTGAAAAATAAACATTTAAATATTGGGGCTGTAATACCATTTTCCTTGCAGTGGTTACTGTTTCTCCAGCCAGAGATGCGGAGCCAGTGAAAATAATTCAGCAAAGAGTGGATTTGGGCTTTATAATCTCAGAATCTCTGATCTGAGAATCTTAGGCAGCCCAAAAATATTATGCTTGGATTTGCGAATTTTGAAAAAATTTGGAGTAGGATTCTGGAGTAGGAAAGCATAAGATTGAAACTATGGTTTGTGACCAGCTGAAAAACACTCAAAATATCTTGTATTGCAAATTTTGGTCTCATAGAAACTATTTCACCTCAAGGACAGCTTCTCTTTTGAATTACGCTAGTGAGACAGTGCATTTGTTTTGCTTTCTTCTTAATGCAGGGCCTGGAGCTTTGTTGTAAGGGCCCAACTTCTCAGTTTCTGGGTAGTCCAGACAGAAATACTGCCTGTCTTTTATGTGCCATACACATCCTAGTGTAGCTCAGACGACATGACTACTCTAAATCTCTGTGCTGCTCAAGGGTTAAATCTTGTCAGTAAGAGAGTTGCAGAAGACCTGGTAAAAGCCAGTGTAATCTCAGTTAGAACTTCATTCACTAGGAATTAAATCCTTTCCTAGCAAAGAGTCCACACAAGGCTGAAGCTGCAGAAAATCATAAAGGTGGAATTTGTCTCTAATGAACACAAAGTACTAATTTACTTGTTTTCATCCTGCCTGTCTGGCAGAGGAGACTCTGCTGTATGGGACTACGGTTGAAATGGCATCACTATTCCCTGTCACCCACACAAGTCTAGCAATTCTCAATAATCATGCTTCCCAAGCAGTCAGTGAGTCACTGCTGATCTGTTTTCTGCAAAGTAGACCTCTGTTTGGTTCCCATGGTGATCAGAAGTGACGATTATTGCAGGCTGCTACTACAGTTTCTCAGTTGTGTGTGCCCACTAAAAGAAGCTCTTACCTGGTTATAGTCCCTGGGTGTTTTGCAGTACATCATCGTTGCTTCCTATTGACAGCAATTTAAACACTTCAGGTGAATTGGCTTTGTGGAGAACAGGCTGAAGGAGGGGGATTTGGAGAGTATTTTTGTTTTGCAATGTATTTAGAACAAGATGAAGAAAATAACTCTGTCAACTTTCCATAGAGCGATGGTGTTCCAGTATTGCAGAAAATCTTTTGAGGCTGGGCTAAATGATTCAGCCCTTGTTTTAAAGACCACCAAGCACAGAACTCAGGTTTATCATAGTAGGAGCTATTTTACCTGATCTGACAATTTTTGCTGTAACTCCAGGCTTTTCAAACACTGAAGTATTTCCTAGACAGCAGAAATCTGTCACTCCTGTTGTGGGACCTTCTGTGTACTGGTCACTATCAGCTATAACTATTAAAATATTTACAGCTGAAGATAGGGCTCAGCTCACGAACCAGATCATTCTGTGAAGTGCAGTGAAACTCTCATTAGCATAACTGTACTGAGAAAAGAATTAGAAAGATATCACAGGACGAAGCTTGGATAAAAAGGGGCTTTGTGTGCCAGAAAGGAGAAAACACATAGGAGAATGAAGATTATTATGCAGTGAAGACTGATGTAGAAAAAGGTTAGGAACAGTAAATGACGTAAAAAAGGAAATACTTTAATTAAGTATCCACTACGTTTCTCCATGATTCTAATCTATAGAAAATAGAGCAAGAGGTAGACAGCTGCCAAATTGTTTTAAGACTAAAGATAAATGGGAGTTGGCTTATCAGGTCATTCCAATCTTCAGATGTCTGAGACTGCAGACCTTTAAGGAAATAACTTGTCTCACTTTTATTTGCTTAATGTCCAGTGTAATGAGCCCATGCACCTTAAAGGTCCTTTTGGGTGTTATCAGAATATATAAATATCCTGCTGTCTCTTTCAAAATTTTGGTTGGTCTTCCCATAATTTATGTCTCTCGATGCAGACTGAGATACAGATACACTGAGAAAATATTCAAGATGTAAAAACAATTAACAGGATTAGTATCAGAATAGAACATGCAAAAAGGAAGCCAGAGTTCAATCTGAAAAGCACTGTAGAGATAGAACCCAAGCTTTGGTTTAGTTATGCCATGTATTTTAGATTTCTGATATGACTAATGAATCACTGTGCAAGTCATTAGTTTGGGTCACAGAACCTTATTGGAACTCTAGAATAATCTGTCTCCTCACAGAATTTTGTTTCTGGTCTTTGATTACAGGATTTCTGTCTATGTTACAGGAGATGGCAATAATGTGAAGTACTAAATTCCACACTTCACCTCTGTTGCTCATCTTTTGTGTTGGCTGAATCTCAGTGTTGTCTGCAGGATTGGCTTCATCTCCATAAAAGCTGAGGTTGTGATTTAGAATGACAGTTAATTAGAAGCAAGTCATATTTGATAACAGTTTTGTGGGGGATACCAGACTGCTGCAAAATGCAAGACTTCGTTTCAGTTAGGGAGGTATTCAAACTTTGTAGAGTCCACACTGTGTCACTATCAAACTTTACTTGACAGTATGCAAACACAAAACCACACACATAAATAAACAAAATCAGGGAGGTAACACACACCTTCAAGCTTACATCTAATGTCATGTTTATGGTTCTATATTACTGGTGTCTGACTGTAACCTTGAGCTGTGAATATTCACCTTACCCACAGCTAGGTTTGCATTCCCCGAAGGATGCTGCTGTGAGGAAGCCTTGGAAGGACTTCTACTACCTGGTTTGTCTGTAGGATACTCACATGTTTATGGGAAATAAGCAACTGACTTTCTCTAAAGATAAAATATGTAATCAGATCATAATGTATAAATAATATCAACTTGATCAAACTCCAAGTATCTGGTTATTAAAACAATGTACTTCATATTTGAAGTCTCACATGAAATCAGCTGCCTGCTTCTTTTTCCTCTTCCTAATTGTGAGTTATCTTAATGGATAAATTAATTCTTTTGGTTTTATAAGGAGCTGCTTCAGATCATCAGACAGAAACAAACCATTTTTGGCAGGGAATTAATTTCTAATAAGGAAACTGTGCCAGCCAGGAGAGATGGAGGTTTTATAAATTCCAAATTATTTTAATAAGATGAATAATAGTTGGAGAATTCACACAGCAGTGTTAAAGAGCCTTTGTTTAAGACATCACTGCTTGTGTAAGCATTGCTTCTTGAGAAACCCAAGATTTCCAGTGAAAATCACTACTTGAAAAATAAGTTTTGATTTATGATAATATTTTCTCAAGAGCAGCATTATATTTTTCTCCTTGAATTTCAAGAGGAAGCCAAATTCTCATTGGAGCCAGTGAGCAAACAGTCTTACCTCTCCTTGCCTGCAAACAATCACAGACAATTCTCATTCAGAGGTACAAGAAAAAAGTTAACTGGCAATAGGAACATATTATGTTCATACACTTGAAATGAATCAAAATCTTTACAAAATTGGTGTAGATTAGACTAGATTTCATGCTTCCTCCTTTCAAGTATTTTTGTTAAAACATAATACTTCTTTTTTCTTTTTCTTGTTGGTTGAAACAATCCCTGGCAAAAACATTTCTTCTATGTTTGTGGCAAGAATATATAATTTATAATTTGCAGCACTTGCGCTATTTATCATTTTTATCTAGAATTTACCTTTTGGCATAAAAAAACCCTGCCACAGACTATGTTTTCTCAAAGGGCTAGGCTCACACCTGTGCTCAGCTGAGCATTCCAAGTAGGTGCTGCTGGAGATTCTCTCCTGAACACTTCACTAGTCAGCTGTCTTTCTCAGCTTCAGTTGAAACAAGGACAGTGTTGCCTGATTGTTCTCCAGGAGGAGCATTTACTGCATGTATGACTCTTACCTTGAGATTTGTGCTGGCACAGTTTAAGGAGTCTTCATTATCCACGAGGATATTGAAACCTCATCCTGGCTCCTGCATGACACCTATTTGACATGGTTTAGCCCCAGCCAGCATCTACCCATGCAGCCACTCTCTCACTCTTCCCCAGTGGGATGGGAGAGAAAACTGGAAAAGTGAGATAACTCGTGGGCTGAGATAAAGCAAAAGCTTCACACACAACCAAAGCAAATAAGGAATTCATTCACCACTTCCTGTGGGCAGGCAGGTGTTCAGCAATCCCCAGGAAAGCAGGGCTCTGGCATGCATAACATTGACTTGGGAACACAAACACCGTCACTCTGGGAGTCTCCTTTGTTCTTCTTCCCCCAGCCTTATATGCTGAGCTTTATATGTAGGTGTGGAATGTCCCTTGGGTCAGTGGGGGTCAGCTGTCCTGGCTGTGTCCCCACCCAGCTTCTTGTGAGCTCTCAGTCCACTTGCTGGTGGGATGCTGAGAGGCAGAGATGGCCTTGACTCTGTGTAAGCCCTGCTCAGCAATAATGAAAACATCCCTGAATTACTATCACTGTTTCCACTGTTTCCCACAGTAACACAGCTTCATCTGAGCTACTCTGAAGAAAATAAACTGTTAACCCAGCCTCTTAACTCTTAACAGCAGCAAGCTCCTTCAAATTTTGTGTTGTGTTGGAAGACACAAGATGGTGGGAAAGTGTCTCAATCACATTTCAGTTTGTGGAGTGATGTGCAGAACAAGAGTCAGCATTACTGGTAAATTAGTTGGATAAATGACTTTGCCACATTTCAGACTCTCTTTGGAGTGGCTTGAAACGATGACAAAAGGAGCAACATAAGGAGTCAGTATCACAAATACCCGTATTAAATATTGCAAATGCTAGCGGTATCTGGTGTTCTGTCATTACAGTCCTGTGAAAATTTCACCTGCATGCCCCCGTAGATAGTAAGGGAAATTAACCCTGGTAGAGTTTTTACCCTAAAAATAAATTTCTCACAGTGGCTGATCATTTGACCCATAGGTTTTCTTGCCTAGGTCATGGGGTCTGGCTGATGTACACCGAGTGTAGCTCTTCATAATCCGGAGCCCCCCACTCTGCAGCCTGCTGGTTTTGTCACACGGCTCTGTAGTGCACCTCCATGCTGTGTGCCTGTGTAAATAGTCAGAGCGGCCTGGAGAAAGAGCTGCTGGTGAGGCAAAAGGACACATCCATGGCATATTCCCTCTGTTGATCCCACTGCCTTTTTGTTGCTCTCAGTGAGGTATGGCAGCTTCACACCCACCGAGGGAGTAAACACATGCTGGTGATCGTCCCCAGGCCGCCTGCACCACGCCATCCCCACCCGCGGCAGCAGGCCAGCACAAACACTGCTGTGCTGGAGAGGCTGGGCTGGTCTTTGGCTAGCCAAACTCTTAAGCAGTGATGGGGTTTGTTTTTCTGCATCCCTTGCTCTCTTAGCAGCAGAACCCAAGCAACTGCACTGAGTTTCCTTTTACGTGCCTCCTGAACAAGCCTCATGTTCAGGGCTGTGCTGGTGACAAATTAATCATCATCCCATCATCAGTCGCACATTGCTGGGCTCTCCCAGCAGCCTCAGAGTCTTATCCCAGGCTGTAGGCTGAATAAATCCTTGACCAAAGTAGGTCAGCAAACCATGCCTGGCCTCAGGAAGCAGCTTTGATCAGGAACAGCAGATTTTTTGCTATTGCTCATAATATTTTTTCTTTAAATGTGATACTTTTCTTTCAAATGGGAAAGAGCCTTACAGACTTGGATGGCAATGACAGCTCCCTGAAGCTTGGATCCTCTGCCAGTACTTTACAGAAAAGGTATTCTGATGAGAGAGAATCCCAAAGCAGGGGATTTAGGATTAAATTAAAAAAAAAAAACCAAAAAAACCCTAAAAATATGTAAGAAATGCTTTATAATAAACCTTGATACACCTCTAGTGTTCTCATTTCTGTAACATTCAACTGCTTGCTCCTTGAAAGCAAGGTTTTGTTTTAATATTTATACATGTAATTTTAGCAGCTAAAAATTTACCTTTTTTCAAAACACTTATTTCAAATTTTGAAAAAAATTTGCTCTGTGTCTACTATCCTGATTCCCAAATATATCCAAATTCCCAAATTTCCCAAATTAATTAACCAATGACTTCAAGCTTGTTGTAATTTACTTTTCACTTTACAGTTTATTTTATTTATTTTAATAAATAGTTTATTTTAGTTTAGTTTATTTATTTTAATAGATAGACTCAAGTGCTGGTGTTAAAATGAGGGGTAATGACATTTTACAAAATATTTAGCAATGAGAATGCTAACAGTACTACTTTTCACTTTGGCACTGCCTGTGACAAAGTTATAGTTTGTGGATATAACTTGAAAATCAAATTATTTTAAGTAACTTTGCCTATAGAGAAGCTGTTAGGTCAAGTCTCAAAGATTAGAATATATAAAAATTATTAATCTGGACTACTTCAGATTGTCCTCTAAGCCATAAAAATATATCTCTGAGGTTTTTTCTATAGAGAAATTCATGCTGTTGTCCAGTGATTCTTTAGAGCTCTGGCCTAGTCTCTTTACAGATGTTACTATTATTCTGCAATGAAAAAAGGCAACCAGACATTTCTGGGCACTCCGTAAAGTCTTGAAAGTAAGATAGCTTAAAATAAATGTTTGTATCCTGCTGTGTTCTTATGACCCCAAATGCACTTTGGGCACTACTAAACTCTAAGTAAGATATAAATAAGATCGAAAGATTCACTCTCTCATTCACTCTCAAGATTCAGTTGCTCAGAAAATTTGAAGAATACCAAAATTAAGCTTCCTAATATATTTGTATTATGACACATTCTTTGACAATGTGATCAATATTATTTTTATGCTACAAGAGATTAACCTAATTAGATATTTATGGAAAAGTTTATTTTCTCTTGATATTTTGAAAACACTTGTTTATTCATTTTATAATTGTTTTATCCTTGCTTTGGGCCAATTTGTTGCCCAGGATTATGCTTTTCTTGCCTGTGTGCACGTTTGATAATAAAAATGCAATTTTTTATGTCCTTTCTTATTTTTAAACTACTGAAAGCTGGTTCTTTATTATCTAAAGATGGATAATTAACGAGGGAAACATCTCCTAAGGATTGTCAGTTGCTGTCTAAAATGCAGAATGAAAATGTCAGTCTTCAGATTGCTGTAACTCAAATTATTTTGTTTTGACATTATGTAATTTACTGGGAATTCAAAAGCTTCCATCATGCTTGCTGAATGGGTTAAAATAAACTTCAAGAGAACAAGAAGGGTGGTACCCTTTCTGCTTCATGAAAACAAGTGTAAGTACAGCAAGGCATGAGAGATATTTGAAAAAAGAGCCCAGCACCTGCCTTTGGGTAGACAGTCACTCTCTGGGAGTGTGATGTGAAAGTGTAAAGTTTTCCTAACCACACAGATGTAACAGTTAATCACTCATTTATTCTCTCCATGTCTTAAATTTTATTTTTCCTGTTGTTACTATTATTGCTTAAAAGCGTGGAAGAAAGCCCAAAGTACCAAACTCACATTTTTTCACAGGTCCTGTGTTGGTTGCCTGGTTGGTTTTGGTTTTTACTGTTTATCTGATTTTAAAGCTAAAAATAGACATGAGGGGCTGGGAATCAGAAACTCCAGCCTTCCTTATGCCACAGGCTTGTTAGTCTTGGCTGAATCACTTAGGTGAAATCCTTCAAAAACAGTTTTTAAACTTGAATGCTCAAGCAAAGGACTTTTGTTTGAACAATGTCTCGATACTCCTTCTCCAGGAAAAGCTGAGCAGAGTTCGTACCAGTGAGGTTGTCTGTGAGGCTCCTGT